CCTAAAGCAATCTACACATTTAATTCAATCCCTATCAAAATAACACCAGAATTTTCACAGTTAGAACAAAAAATCCTAACATTTGTATAGAACCACAAAATTCCCTGAATAGCCAAAGAAATCCTGAAAAAGAAAACAAACCTAGAGGCATCTCAATTCCATATTTCAAGCTATATTACAAAGCTGTAGTCATCAAGACAGTATGCTACTGGAACAAAAACAGACACATAGATCAATGGGACAGTACAGAAAACAGAAATGGACCCACACCTATATGGTCAACTCATCTTTGACAGAGTTGTAAAGAACATCCAATGGAAAAAAGACAGTCTCTTCAACAAATGGTGTTGGGAAAACTGGACAGCGACATGCAGAAGAATGAAACTGGACCACTTTCTTACACCACATACAAAAATAAAATGAAAATGAATGAAAGACCTAAATGTGACAGGAAGCCATCAAAATTCTAGAGAGGAAAACAGGCAGCAACCTCTTTGACCTTGGTCATAGCAATGTCTTACTAGTCTTGTCTTCAGAGCCAAGGGAAACAAAAGCAAATATGAACTATTGGGACTTCAAGATAAAAAGCTTCTGCACAGCAAAGGAAACAATCAACAAAACCAAAAGGCACCCTACAGAATGGGAGAAGATATTTGCAATATATCTGATAAAGGGTTAGTATCCAAAATCTATAGAGCTTATTGGGACACCTGGGTGGCTCAGTCTTTTGCATCCAACTTCAAGTCAGGTCATGATCTCGCAGTTTGTGATTTTGAGCCCCACTTCAGGTTCTGTGTTGACAGCTCAGATCCTGGAGCCTGCTTCAGATTTTGCACCTCCCTCTCTCTCTGCCCTTCCCTTGCTTTCTGTCTCTCTCTCAAAAATAAACATTACAACTTTTTAAAAAAGAGCTTATCAAACTCAACAACCAAAAAAACTAAAATAATCCAGTTAGGAGATGGTCAGAAGACATGAATAGACATCTTTCCATAGAAGCCATCCATATGACTAACAGACCCATGAAAATAGACTCAACATCACTCATCATCAAGGAAATACAAATCAAAACCACAATGAGAAGTCACCTCATACCTGTCAGTATAGCTAAAATTAACAACACAGAAACAATGGGTGCTGTCAAGAATTAAGAGAAAGGGGAACCCTCTTGTACTTTTGGTGGGAAGCAAACAGTTGGAGCCACTCTGGAGATTATTATGAAGTTTCCTCAAAAAACTAATATAGAACTACCCTATGATCCAGCAATTGCACAATTAGGTATTTACCCAAAGGATGCAAAAATACAGATTTGAAGGTGTACATACACCACAGTGTTTATAGACGAATTATCAACAATAACCTTACTACAGAGAGAGCTCAAATGTCCATCGACTGATAATGGATAAGGAGGATGTGGTATATATATCAATGGAATATTACTCAACCATCAAAAAGAATGAAATATTGCCATTTGCTATGACATGGATGAAGCTGGACTATATTATGCTAAGTGAAGTAAGTCAATCAGAGGAAGAAAAATACCATATGATTTCACTCATCTGAGGAATTTAAGAAAAAAAAACAGATGAACATATGGGAAGGAGGGAATAAAAGAGAAGAAAGGTAAACAAACCACAAGTGATGATTAAAGATAGACAAAAAACTGAGGGTTGATGGAGGGATGTGGGTGGGAGATGGGTTATATGGGTGATGGGTATTGAGGATGGTGCTTGTTATGATGAGCACTGGGTTTTGTATGTAAGTGATGAATCACTGAATTCTACTTCTGAAACCAATATTGTACTGTATATTAACTAACCAAAATATAAATAAAAAGTTAAATTTGGAAAAATAAACAGAAATTTTACCAAGAAGATTTATAACTGGCAGCTAACCTCATGAAAAATTGTTTATCTTTTTAAGTGACCAAGTTGAAAATTGAAGGCACAATAAGATACCACCTCACACCCACTGAAATAGGTAAAACTTAAAAGAATAAGAATATTTAATTTTAATAGTGATGGATATTAGCTGAAAATATCACAGACTGTCTGAAAGTCTAAAATACTTCCAAATATTTAATATACATTTTGGCAGTTCCTTATGAAGTTAAACAAAATCTATCCTATAATCAATCACATTCCATTTTTAGGCAATTACGGAAGAGATCTGCTAATATATTCAAAGTAGCTAAAAACTGAAAAAAACCCACAAATGACCATCAACAGGAGAATGGGTATGCAAATTGAAATATGCCCATTCAATGGAATGTTTTTCTGCAATTAGAAAGAAAAATTTAAAAATCTACTGATACTGGGAATAACATGGATGAATTCCAATATGATTATGATGAGTGGATGGAGCTAGACACATACTGTGTGTTTCCATTTACATTAATCTCAAGAACAGATAAAACTAATGTATAACACTAAAAATCAAAACATTGTTTCCTATGAGAATTAAATGTGGCTAGAAGGAGGCAATAGGGGAGGTTCTCAAGTAATAAAAATATTCTACCTCCTGAATAAGGTACTAATTACATGGGTATATAATTAACATGAAGACACTTTGGCAAACTATTGATAATGGTGGAACCTGGGCTCCTGGTGCAAGTTTATCATTCTTTTCTCCTTATACTCTGCATGTTTCCCTGTGTTCACAGTGAGTAGTTTTATAAAATTCACAATAGATGTCGGTTAAGCGTCCGACTTCAGCCAGGTCACGATCTCGCGGTCCGTGAGTTCGAGCCCCGCGTCAGGCTCTGGGCTGATGGCTTGGAGCCTGGAGCCTGTTTCAAATTCTGTGTCTCCCTCTCTCTCTGCCCCTCCCCCGTTCATGCTCTGTCTCTCTCTGTCCCAAAAATAAATAAATGTTGAAAAAAAAATTTAGAAAATTCACAATAGAATATATCTTCATTACAAAAGAAAACAAGTGAATAAGTGGATTATACATGTTTAAGAATTTATTTAGAAAACGCAAAGAACTACAGAAAAATATATAAATAAATTAAAACAGTTAAAAAAACACACTGATAAGTTGTATCAACAAGCTGATTGGGGGAGAAGAAAAGGATCAACTAATGATACTAAAAATCCACGAGTCAGACTTACTTCATTTAAAAAAAAGGCATAGCAAAACAAACAAAAACTGGAACGAAAATGGGTATCAGTTGAAATGAGAAATTAAGAGAGTGATGAAAGAACCCTTTGTATAACTTCACGTTACTTTGTTGGAAAATCTGCTTGGATTGTGATGTTCTAGGATAAACCAAGTTAAATATAAGATGCAAGACATAAAACAAACAGTCACTATAGAAAAAAGTGAGAAAATTTTATAGATAGCCTCAGTTCTACTTCAAACCACCAGAAGAAAGGACAGTTCAGATTATTTAATTGATGTTCACTTAGCCATTCATATTAATGCTAAAGGTTTTCAACCCATTCTATAGCACAGAATATCCTCAAAATTAATTTAACCCAACCAGAAAATCTGATATAAAACCATGACAAAAATAGGACAGAAAATTATGGATCAACTTCATTTAATAGTATACTTGCAAAAAGTCCAAATCAAACTAAGATATCCATAATTTAGTAGTAAATTTAGAGCAAAACATTTTTTACCAAAACACTTTTACCAAATTATTAATTCAATGAATAAAATAAAGTTTCAAAAATATAATTATTTCACAGTAATAAAAGTTTAATTGAAGAATAATACAATTTTTTTAGGAAAAAACATTTATTACATTACCACCTGGTTTTGATGAAATTTCTTAAAAATATAAAAGGTGGGAAACTTACCTAATATGATACACAAAAATATCTCAAATTTAAAATTCAAATATTGCATTAATGATTGAGACCACCTAAATAAAAATAACTTACCTATTAAGTTTAGGACCTGATACCACCCCTAGCAGAGTCCTATACACAAGATAGAACTACAAACCAATAAATACATTGACAGTTTTCCCATCTAAACTATAGCTCTTCTATTATTGAAAATATCTTACTCATGTAGGCAAACAGCTTATTTATCAGACAAAAATTTTGATTATCTACACTCCCATCAAGGACCTCATGTTACTCTTTTACCAATCTTAAACTATTGTATGCCAAATTTTGTCCATTCTTAACCATTTCCATTTTTTGAAAAACCCACCTCAAACCACACCAACCCAGACCCCAAAGCTTACTTTTGAAACACTACTAAACGTTGTCAAAGTGGTGTTTTCCCTTGCTGCAGTAAGTTTACTTAGTCACTCAGCTTTTCTTGATCATCGTTCTTTCTTGGAGTCTTTTTGGTTAATAGACCAGCAACAATATACTGGTCAAACCCAAGGTTTGATTAAATCAAGGATGGGTAAAAGTTCCACATTTGTTTAAGTGCTCTGAAAGTACCAGTCAGTGAACATTATCAACATAATTAAATCAAGATCACTTGGAAGGAGAGAATCAAAATGATCAGTATTTGCAAATGATTTGGTATGTACTTTGACAAAATCTGAAAAGTCATGAGAAGAGTAAGGTAACCACCTTCCCCCCCAAAACAAAATTTTCAGACTTAGAAAAAATATCAAGGAAGAAAATAAACTGAAAAAAAAATCACAAATTGAAAATGTTAACAGTAATTAAAATTGCTGAATAAAAAGAAAGACATACCTTGTCCTTGGATAGGAAGACTTATATTACTAAAAACCAATTCCCCCTAAATTAATTTACTTAAGTTGATGAAATTGCAGTCTAAACTGTAATTTCTTCCAACGAGAAGACACGTGAGACAGGAGGCAGAAGAAGAGACACACATATCCACAGAAAAAAAATGGTGCCAGTCACAGATGAAATACAGCATATGTGCAAGATGGCATTACAGATAAATGGGCAATTATTGGCAAATAATCGCAAGTAATGGCAAATAACTTGGCAACTTTAAGATTTCAAATCAAAAAAATTTCTCATGATTTAAGAATCTGAATAAAAGAAACACAAAAGAATAAGAAGTTAACATAGGTGAACGGTTTTATGAAATCAGTATAAATATTTTTTCCAAAATGACATGAAACTCAGAAGCCATAAAAGCAAACATGGTTATACTTGGACATATAACAATCATACACATTCTTACAACAAAAATGAAGTATAAAAGTGCATAAAAATATCTATAATGCTTCACAATCCAAAGCTTATTCTCCCAGTAATAAATGAGCTCTTCAAAACCAGAAATCTAAACCCCCACCCCCAAAATTGGACATAAAGAGGAAATTAAAGAATACAGATGGCTAATAAACATGAAAAAATGATCAAACTCAAAAACAAAAGAAATACAGTTTAAGACAATAGTTTGGGCTATCACATTGGCAAAAAAATTAAATATTTATAAAATCCATTATCTGTGAAGTTGTGGGGAAAGCTGGCAATCTCATTCATTGCCATTTGAGGATAAAGTTGTCACCACATTTTAAGGAAATCTTGTAATAATTTGAAATGTGCATATCCTTAATCCCAGTATTTGAACTGCTAAGTAATTTATTATGATATAATAGACAAGTGCAGAATTATTGATAGGGAGTTTCATTGCACAGAAATTTGGTGCTAACATAAATATCTATGAATGAGAAATGCTTATAACATTTAATTATATTTCACCTACAAAACAGTCGTGCAGTCATTCAACAAATGACACAGATGTGTATTACTGAAATAGAAAAGGGTATTAAAACTGTTAAATGAAAGACAATTTGCAGAAGAATGTGTACAACATGGCCCTACTTCCAGAACCCCTCAAAATAGTTTGTGTGTATGTGTCTATGTGACTGTATGTGTGCATCTATCCACTTAAAGAATGCACACAACTCCCTTAATAGAAGAAAACTTTGGGGGGGTAGAATTGGGAGGGAGGAGGGAACTTAATTTATATATTAGATATTTAGATACACTTTGAAGTTTTGAAAAAAAATTGTGTAGTTTCTTTTCAATATATCCAATATTTAAATTTTACCATATGGCAAATGGAAATTATAAATGTATATTTATGGGAGCACTGAGCAATTCCATCATTTTGAGATTCTTGTGCAATAATATTTCCTCTACTGAGGCTCCTGGGATTGAGTCAAGTGGCAGCAAGGGAAACAGTCACCATGCCCAAATTAAAGTCTCATCGATGATATCCCAACATGAGCATTTCTCAGTTAAGCATTTCTTATCTGCAGGAGGTGTCCACTGCAACACAGGAAAGAGACGAGTCTCCAAGCATAAAGAAGACTGTATCATTGTTTTGGTGAAGCTTGTAGTAGAAGTAATGGCACCCTCAGTAATAAATCCACCTCACATTTGTGGTCATCACCTGCAAGGATACAGGAGGGAAAATTGGCAAAGCTGTGGGACTTTTCTAAGGAGCTTATTGGGGGCTATGAAATTCTTATATACTCTACCTGTACATATCCTAGAATGAATCTACCCAGGGGACACACAGAAAGCCACATTTTCAGCTGCTGGGTCCACATTGGCCAGACAAATTACTTTAAATCTCCCTAAATCAAACATCAGTGCTACTTTGTCTTCCTTGCTGGGCTAAAAAGTGATAGGCACCTCCAACTATCTCAGATTTTTATCTCTTTCCCTCTGTATTGGCTTCTTAAAGTTCTAGGTCACTCATTCATTTGACCAATTATTTCAGAAGAAAATAGTTGTCTTCCCTCCAGTCTAATGGTTTTTGAGAACCACTGAATCTCATGAAACTGACTCTGTTAACACATTGGATCCAGCCAATTAGGAGCTTAGTTTATCGGATAAGAAAAGTTAAGAAAATCTTTCTTATTAACCATAACTATACTAACTGAAATGTAGAAAATCTATGAATGTATATAAGAAAAGCTGTATCTCTTAACTCACTATGCATTCTGGCCTTTGAAGTCAACTAGAATATAACCAGAAGTCATTAATCTTCAGAAAATTAACATCTAATTTTCTGCCCAGACATGGTTGCCCCTAGAAAGCAAGGAATATTCTGAAAAAAAACCTTACCTTCAGAGGGTAGCATTTGGACAACAGCCCCTTTGTCTGAAGAGTCTTGTTTCAAGGATTTACTGGTATCATTCACTTCAAATGAATTCCCAAGAAGTGATCTTCTGAGGGGAAAAAAATGAAAAATTACACTTCCAATGAAAAAGGTAATTCAGCTGGAGGCTGGGAAGTTATTCTTTGGTACTCTTTATTGATTTTATTTGGAAGCTGCTTCTTAACTCTCACACAACTCAGAAACTATACCTAGCTGCACCATAGCTCTATACATTTCAGTATAAGCATATTATATCAGAGCCCTTATCTCTTGTGCATTTCCAAAATTGACTGGATTGCCTGAATCCCACTGAACATTATGTCTCTTTTCCCCCCATCATTTATTATTTTCTGCTTATTTGGCCAGGCTACTTACAAAATCACTCAGTATAATCTATTTATGTATCTATTCTCAGTAAAAGTTTATTGAGAACATATTCCACGCCTGGAAATATATAATTACTTGTACCACAAAAGTAAACTAAAAATGTCAGGCCATAAGAAATTAAAAGCCCATTTGATGAATCAAGCACAGAAATAAAGACCTGAGAAGTAACTTAGTAAATGGTCTCATAGAGGTAGATACAGTTTTAGGACTGTTGAGGGTTTAGGGTTGTTGAGAAAGTCCTCCATTTAGGGATACCTGTTAATACCCACAGCTATAACTCCTAGTTACTGTAATGCCCACTATTAACTGGATATTAGATGGGCTTTTAATAATATTTAGCTACAACCAAATGTTATCAAGCTTAAGAAGAGGGAGATCTATCAGATCCTATCCATCTTGGGCTTTTTTCCAGTAAACATGATGTTCCCTGATAATACAGTCATACCTGCAAGGGTGTCCAAAAGACCACAGGTAGGAATGGAGAATCACTGACTTAAAATTGTTATCTTACTCTCTGGAGATAGAATTCAAGAAAGGCAAAGGCATAGACAATTTCTCTTCTCTTTTAGGCCCCATCATTACCTGGCAGGGGAAAACAAGAGGAAAAATAACATTTTAAGACAAAATATGCATACATAGTATAAATTTTACCTATATGTACATGTAAACTATATATATTTTTAAATATTACACAAACACATGTAAATGTAATCTAATTTAACAATAAAACATGCACAAATTGTGGATATAGTGTTATACAGACTGGAAAGAGTGGATATTGCTAAGTTCTTGTGTGTCACATGCACAACCTTCAAACATGCATTGCTCTCCCTTCCACCTGACATTGAATAGACCCAAAAAATGGCTGGCTAGTAATTATTTTATCAAGGTAAAATATTCTTTTTCTATTAAGGCTAAATGTTATCAAATACACACACACACACACACACACACATATATATGTATATATATATCTCAATAAAAACATGGTTTTTCTATTACCATCTCATGAAGTCCAAGAGAAGCTCCCACAGTTCCATTGGCAAAAGAAAATTGTTTCTAGCTTATCAATTTTCACAAGACCATCTTTAAAAGAAAATATGCATGTCAATAACATCTAAATATTTGGAAGGATTGGATTAAACTAAATATCTCTTTTATAATAACAGTCTAATATTTACTCCAAAGCAATAATCTCGTGAAAGGATACATTCCTGTGCAAGAATCATAAATGTTCTAACCACTCTTCATCTAAAAGAATTCATAAATACAATATTTTTATCTATGATTGTGAAGAAAGCTCATACTGTAAATCATCAGTTTTAAACAACTTCAATAAAACAATAAAGTATAGGTGTTATAAAATGAAGAGTACACTTCATTAATATATTCAGAGTATCCTCAAAATTGCACAGAACAATGGCTTACATTTGATTTTCTGATCTCAAATTTGCTGATTACTCAGTAAAAAATAAAGAATTGTGTGTATCCTAAAGCAAGGTCCTAACAATGTCTTTCTGAAGTCATCTGCAGAACACCATATCTCAACTTTAATCAAATGTATTTAGGTTTCTTTTTCATCATGTCAACCATTAAAATATCTTGAAATACTAGCTTTATGTAAAGGTATAAAATTTTAAAATTTACATTAAAGAAAAAAGTAGGCAAAAAACATAATTGTTAAAACATGCTTTTGTCTTCAGAATATAAACATGCTGATGTAATATCGTCTTATTTCATTTCCTGTTTCCTGACAAGTTTAGAAACATTTATCATAATGTAGCAGCTTATACTTCTATTTTCAAACACATTTTCCCCAAAACAAACTTACCTAAATTTTCAATTACAGATATTTTAAAGATGCTATTTTTATAAGATCTACATATTTCATCATACATTGGCATACATGTTAGTAGCTCTAGATAATTTGTTTCCAATAGAACTTTGGCTCCTGCTGAACTAAGATTTATAAATCCTGGGGCCAGAGTAATAGTATATCACTGTGCATACATAATTCTCTCATCTAAGAGTAAATTTGGTCCCGAAAATTGCTGTTGGAAAATGCATGAATATGGACGTTAGAGTTTTCTTAAAGTCCTAATGGAAGACAAGTAGACTTTCCCTTCAAAGGAACCACAGAGACACAGTTCTTCAAAAAGTATTAATATCTAAGTTAGGATAATGTATCATGGAAGAGAAAGATATTAGGTGAGTCTAAATGGGAAAAGAAACACAATCTTCTAAAATTACTGTCTCTGCAAAGCCTGTTACTACTGAGGAAATCTTGGCAAAGTATAGCAACTGCTCTGGCTTCTATTACACTTGATTCTTACACAGTTAGATGACAGAAATATATTAATTTCTTTAGACTTGTATGACAGTGTGTCTCAACCTTTTTTTATTATCATGTGATTGGATATCCTTTTTAGACATTTTCCCCTAGTTTTCAATCCTCCCCCCCACAAATTTTAATACCACAAATATTCTGTATATCTGCTTATGTGTGTATGTGCATGGTGACTGTTTGGAGGGCCATAAACCACTATAATATTTAAGATTTCTTTTGCTCCCAAGAATTACTTTTCACCTCAGAAGTATGACATCAACTATGTTGAGAACCATGGTGTATAGTAATTTGAGAAAAATAACTAAACAGGTAGGAAGCATATAGAGTCTTCCAGCTTATCATGAAGTGTGTTTGGGGTAGTTTCCCATTCTCTTCTGATGCTCATACTCAACAGGACACACTACTGAGGGCTCAGAGATGTTCTCTCAATCACATATCTCACTTTGGTCCAATATAATCTTTATGCCCGAAAAAGGAACTATGCCTTTATGCTTTGGGCTAAGCACATAAATGTCAAAAATTCTCAAATACACAGGAATGAAAATCATGCAGGACTCACCATATTATTAATGTATACATGTGATGTGATTACAAAAGTTCTCATAAAATAGATTAAATTATTGGCTAGTTAAATATTGGCTAAAAACATAGATAAATATGAATGAGTGATATTATATTGTCAAGGGAACTTCTGGAAGATTTGCAGAGATAACCATTGTTGACGATGGAAATCTAAGTATCAGTGTTTAGTTGCTGAGTCTTAAGTGCAACTAAAACCTTGGATTCCTCCATATCCATCTCCCTTCAAGAAAACACGAGACAAATAACATTTCTAATGGAGTCCACAGTCAGTAGTGATGCCCCTCTTTCATTCCTAACTCTAGTTATTTATGTCTTCTCACTTTGTTTCTTGTTCAGTCTAACTAAAGGCTTGTCAGTTTCATTAATCTTTGCAGAAATCCAACTTTTGGTCTCATGGGTTTTCTTCCTAGTAATTCTGGGTTTTGTTTTTATGTCATTGATTTTTGCCCAAATATTTATTATTTACTTCCTTTCACTTGATTTTCTAGTTTAGTCTTTTTCTTATTTTTTAAAGCGGAAGTTTAGGTTATTTATTTGATGTTTTTATATTTACTCTTTTCTGATAGTCATTTAAAACTATACATTTTCTAGGGCACCTGGGTGACTCATTTGGTTAAGCCACCAACTGATTTTGGCTCAGGTCATGATCTCACGTTTTGTGAATTTGAGCCCTGAACCAGGCTCTACACTGATGGCACAAAGCTTGCTTCAGATTATCTTTCTCTTCCTCTCTCTTCCCTTCACTTGCTTGTGCTCTCTCAAAATAAATAAACTTAAAACAATTTTTAATGTTTATTTTTGACAGAGAGGCACAGAGTGTGAGCAGGGGAGGGTTATTTTTGACAGAGAGACAGGGAGACACATAATCCAAAACAGGCTCCAGGCTCTGAGATGTCAGCACAGAGCCCAACGTGGGGCTCGAACTGATGAACCATGAGATCATGACCTGAGCCAAAGTCCGAAACCCAACTGACTGAGCCACCCAGGCACACCTTAAAATTTTTTTTAAAACTATAATTTTCTTCTAAGCATCTCTTTTTATGTATCCCATTCAATTCTAAATGTTTTCTAGTTTTTTTTTCATGATTTTATCTTTGACCAATTGGTTCTTTGAAGTATGTTAATTTTCAAATATTTGGTGATTTCCCAGATTTATTTGTTTTGATTTCTAATTTAATTCCCCTATGGCTATAGACCATACTTTACATGACTTTAATATTTTTAAATTCATTGAGTCTAGTTGTATGATGTAGCATATGGTCTATGCTGGAGAATACTCCAGATGTTTTTGAAAATAGTTTGTTTTCTGCTGTTGCTGAGTGTGTATGTATGTGTGTGTGTGTGTGTGTGTGTGTGTGTGTGTGTATCAGATCAAATTTATTGGTAAGATTGCTCAAGTATGCTATAACCACACTGATTCTCTAATTGGTCTGTCAATTATTAAGAAGAAGGTACTAAAGTGTCCAGTTATTATTACTGAACTATCTACTTATCCCTTCAACCATGTCTGTTTTTCCTTTGTTATTTGAGGCACTGTGGTTAGCTGATTATGTTTTATATCTATCTATCTATCTATCTATCTATCATCTACCAATCTATCATCTATCTGATTAATTAAACCATCTATCACTATATAATATTCTTTTTCATTTCTAATAATAGTTTACATTAATGTCTGTTTTCTCTGATGTCAGAATAGCCATTCCAGTTCCTTTTTGGGTATTCCTTGCGTAATACAGCTTTATCAATCATTTTAGTTTCAAACTGTTTTTGTATTTCATTCTAAATTGTATCTTTCATAAATAATATATAGCTATTTAATTTTTGATGGAATCTTTCAGTTTCTGTCTTTTAAATTTAATATAATAGTCATAGGGTGGGATTTATGTTTGCCATTTTTCTTTTTTTGATGTCTTACATCTTTTTGGTTCCTATGTTCATTCTTAGCTGCTTTCTTTTGTTTTAAGTAAGTATTTTCCTATTACACTGTTTACATTCTTTGTACTTCTTTTAATATTTTTGAGTTATTATTGAAGACTCATCCTACTCTTTATAAAGTATATATATATATTTTTTTCAACGTTTATTTATTTTTGGGATAGAGAGAGACAGAGCATGAACGGGGGAGGGGCAGAGAGAGAGGGAGACACAGAATCGGAAACAGGCTCCAGGCTCTGAGCCATCAGCCCAGAGCCTGACGTGGGGCTCGAACTCACGGACCACGAGATCGTGACCTGGCTGAAGTCGGACGCTTAACCGACTGCGCCACCCAGGCGCCCCATATAAAGTATATTTTAAATTATCATAATTTCAGGTTAACACTAACTTCGTTATATAGCATTTATATGTCTTGAACTCAGTTTCAGAAAAGTGCTTCTGTCACTCATGTTTTCCATATATTCCAACAGATAAATTACTGATGCTATCATTTATCCAGGCATGTTTATAACCATGACTATGAGCATGAAATAGGTGACATAAACTAAACATTAAGGATTCTGACATCACTGGACACTGTGATCATGTTTTGAAGTCAGAGAGTCCAGCAAACACAATCAATAGCTGGCTAGCATAGACAGAATCTCACTGTCATTTGGATCATTATAGTTCCTTAAAAGAATATCAGTATTCCTGGGACAAAATGCATACCTACTGCTTAATTTTCATATATTTGTTATCACATAACATAGAAAAGAAAGGCAAAAATCCATAATCTCTTTTAATTTTGACCATCTAACAGCCCTCAAGGAATCAATAATCACTGAGAAAATTATGCAGCTCAGACAAATGTGTAAATGGCTCATGTGTAGGTACAACCATTTCTCAAATTTTCAGAACTACCATGAGAGTGCATCATTGCATTTCTTCTCAGATAAGAGAGCTGGTAAAAGTGACAAAATCAACTGTTCTTTGGTGAGATGGCAAGAATTCCATGAAATTACTATCTTAACTTCCAACCTACAAATCACAAGGACAATCAGAGGAGCTGAAAAAGAAAAACTTTTATATTCAGTGTTTATTGATAAGAGGTTATAAGTAATTACATACATTCATTGACCATGACAAGAAAAAAGTATACTTGTTCCATGGAATAGAATAGTATACAAAGTTATTTGTTCTAAGACCTAGTCAAAGTTTCTCCAAAGAATTCTAAGCATCATTCATCAAAACTAGGATCTCCCTTTAAACAGAAATGAACAGACCAAAGTAATATAAATATTAACGATTAAAATTATAAGAACTTGAAATGCAATAATTTCACCATTAAAAATATTTAATGCAGGGGCACATGGGTGGCTCAGTTGGTTAAGCATCCAACTTCAGCTCAGGTCATAATCTCATGGTTCATGAGTTTAAGCCCCGTGTCAGGCTCTATGCTAACAGCTAGGAGCCTGGATCCTGCTTCAGATTCTGTGTCTCCCTCTCTTTCTGCCCCATTCCCTGCTTCCACTCTGTCTTTCTCTTTCAAAATATAAATAAACATTAAAAAATTTTTAAAATATTTAATGCAGTATGTACTTGACTCCATCACTCAAATGTCTAGAAAAATTCTCTTTGGGTGACAAGAAATCAAACACTATGAATTCTTGTGACTGGATTAACAAGCAAATTAAGATACTCTCTGAGACATTCTCATACATAGAAACCATTGTTCAGCTTCCATTATGTTTCCTTTATCTAAAAAAATAATTGGTAACTAATGACTTAATATCTTTTGAATTGACTATCTAATTTACCTCAATGGACTATGCCTTACAAGATTGCAGCATATAAGGAAATCAGGTGACTGGCTTAAGGGTAGACAAAAACATAACTCATTGGTCTCAGTACTCATGTGCTGGTCCCCCAGTGTCTGATTATCATGAGTCTATGGTTGCTGCCAGCCAAGCATTCACAGAGTACCATGTCATTCCTAAATTAGATATTTATAGATCTCCGTACAACTCAATCAGCTTAGGTTTCAAATACCACAGACCTGGCTTGTACTACTACCTGACAAATATATGTATTTGCCTTACAGGATCCTTAAGCAGACTTCAACTCACAGAAGTGATTGTCACTCATTTTGTTCAGTCCACATTTATAAAAGGGACGTTGATCCTAAGATATGTGGTAGACACTGAGTACTCCAGATTCCGTCTCCCTGGGACACACCTATACCATTTAATCATGGAGACTGGTCATCACAATCAATGACTCAATCTCACAACTGATTAGTACAATCAGAGTTTTACTGTCATATGAATGTTAGAATGTCCTAAGAGGAATGCCAGTATTTTCAGGACAAAATACTAATGTTAGAATTCCTGTTGGAATTCTTTCAAGAAAAGGGAATAAACTCATATGAGACCCAGCTAGTGTTCTTGTCAACCTGTGGAAACAGAGTAAAAATATGGAAAGATGTGTATACACATCCTTTTGTCAAACATTCATAACACAGAAAGGATTATAATACACCTTCATATCAAAAGAACTCATGTTACTTAACTAGGACGTTTCTGTTGTTATTCAAAAAGAGAAGTCATAAAAATCTTGGAAATAAAAGAGACAAAATATTGGATGGCTCACTGATAATTAAGAAGTCTCATTGGATTAACAGCTACTTCACAAAACCAATTATCTACTTAATTACAGATAAGTATTTTACTTAAAAAGCCATAAAAGTACATTTATTTAAAATTGATTATAACCCTTGGAGTGCATTGGTTTGTTCCATTCCAGAGAAAAGGAACAGATAAAAATGACAAAATCAGCACTTCTTTGCTACAATGGTGAGTATTCTATGACATTCATAAAATTATTCCATTCTACAAAAGCACAGAGGAAATTTAAAAAGTTGTGAAATAACCTTCCCAGTTGAATGGTTACTGATGAGAGGTAGTTAAGGAATTAACCATATATTCCCTTGACTACATAACTAGAAAAATTATGCTTTTCCTCAGAAAAGGTGGTAGAGAAAGTCAAATTTCTAATACATCGGTCTCAAGGTATTAGATCCAGAGCACCCCCAGCATTACTCACTACGATTATAACTTATCTTTATGCATATAAACCCATTGATGGAATATAAACATTAGGCAATTATATCAACATAAAACTTCAATAATTAGAAATTTAATAATTTCATGTTAAAATGTTTAATGAAATACCTAGTTTAATCTATCATGAAATATCTAGAAAATTTCTTCCTGAGTGACAAGAAAAAGAAAAAAAAAGTTCTAATCCCTGCAACTGGGCTAGAAGGCAAATTAAAACATATAGATCATCCAATAAATATAATCTATTCTTCAATTTTCCCATAATTATTCTATTTAAGAGATAAATGACTAGCAAAAAATGAATAATTTCTAATTGACTATCCAATAAGACCTAAACATGTTGATTCTCACAAATGACTATGACTAAAGAAATGGTGTAAATAGCTCATGTGTAGGCACAACTATTTCTCACAGTGTTCACTACTCATGTGCTGGTTCTCCACAGTCTGTTTACTGTGGGCTTATGAAGGCTACCAGTCAAGCACTCAGAGTTGCCATGTCATTCCATAATAGTTATTTATTGCCTCTGTACAATTCATTTCCACTAGCATTCATCAGCATGCTAGTTTTCCAATGCTATAGTCTTTTTTATTTGGTACTATGTCCTGACCAAATTGAATTCTCCTCCACATTTTTTTTTTTTTTTTTTTTTTTGTCTAGCATTATGGTCCCTGTGCTGGACCTCAGCTCACAGAAGTGATTTTGTCATTCATTTTCTTCTGATGTCAACAAGACCCATTTTTGAAGTCATCACTGATCCAAGCACATTTGCAAAAGGGATTTTGATCCTGATATAAAAAGGCAGACATTAAGAAATGAGGATTGTCTCACTAGGACACACTGAATCATACTATTCAATTATGGAGACTAGCCACTACTGTCAAGGACCCAGCCTCATGACTAACTAACTTAGCCAAATTCTTATCATTAGAGTGTTATAATTCACTGAGAGGAATGCCAGTATCTTCGGGGAAAAATGCTTACCAGCAAGAAAATTCCCACTGACGCTTGAGGATGGGAGGCAGAATTTTTCCTAACACTTTCTTTCATTTCATGTCTCAAGGGGAAGAAATAAAAGATTTTATATGAAACTGAGTTCTTAGTCCATGTTGATCTGCCAGCATAGAATAAAATTAGGGAAAAATGAGAAGCATACATATCCATCTGTATCATGTACAACACAAGAGGTTTACTATACATAAGTATATATAATACTATCTTTCAAGTAAGATCTGATATTATTTAATAGAAGAAGCATACAAATTCTGGGGGCGGGGGGAAGTACACAGAATCCTCAGATGACCAAGGTTATAAAGGCCTCACATTGTTTGTATTAACAGATTCTCAAAATCATTTGTAATTTTGTTTGCTAAAGATAAATCATAGAATGTAAATAAGAATAAATAATAAATTTTATTAAACATGCAATTTTACCTCTGGAGTGCACTATTCTGATTATTCCTATAGAAGTGAGCTGGTAACAAGTAACAAAATCAGTAGTTCATTGGAGCAGTAATAGGAATTCCATCCAATTCCACTATCACCTCTAAATCTATAAAAAAATATACAGGGAAATTAGAAACTTTGACAAACAAAACCACCATAATTGGAAATTTATTAATAACAAATTATAAAAAATAAACTATAGTCACGTGACTATCTATGTAACAACAAAATTTATGCTCAGTACTTGAAACAGGGAAGCATTGAAGGTCATAAGACCTTGGTCTCAAAGTTTCCCCAAATGGCCTCCATCAGCATCAGGCATTAAAACTAGGATGTCCCCCCATCTTGCACTGTTGGTAGGAATGCAAACTGGTGCAGCCACTCTGGAAAACAGTGTGGAGGTTCCTCAAAAAATTAAAAATAGACCTACTCTATGACCCAGCAATAGCACTGCTAGGAATTTACCCAAGGGATACAGGAGTACTGATGCATAGGGGCACTTGTACCCCAATGTTTATAGCAGCACTCTCAACAATAGCCAAATTGTGGAAAGAGCCTAAATGTCTATCAACTGATGAATGGATAAAGAAATTGTGGTTTATATACACAATGGAGTACTACGTGGCAATGAGAAAGAATGAAATATGGCCCTTTGTAGCAACGTGGATGGAACTGGAGAGTGTTATGCTAAGCGAAATAAGCCATACAAAGAAAGACAGATACCATATGTTTTCACTTTTATGTGGATCCTGAGAAACTTAACAGACAACCATGGGGGAGGGGAAGGAAAATAATAGAAAAAAAAAAGAGGTTAGAGTGGGAGAGAGAGCCAAAGCATAAGAAACTCTTAAAAACTGAGAACTGGGGCGCCTGGGTGGCTCAGTTGGTTAAGCGTCCGACCTCGGCTCAGGTCACGATCTCATGGTCCGTGAGTTCGAGCCCCCCCATCGGGCTCTGGGCTGATGGCTTAGAGCCTGGATCCTGCTTCCGATTCTGTGTCTCCCTCTCTCTCTGCCCCTCTCCCGTTCATGCTCTGTCTCTCTCTGTCTCAAAAATAAATAAACGTTAAAAAAAAACAAACAACTGAGAACTGAGGGTTGATGGGGGGGTGGGAGGGAGGGTGGTGTAGGTGATGGGTATTGAAGAGGGTATCTTTTGGGATGAGCACTGGGTGTTGCATGGAAACTAATTTGACAATAAATTTCATATAATAATAAAAAAAGAGACCAAAAACCCCCCCAAAACCCAAAAATAAATAAATAATAAAACTGGATGTTCCCTTCAATGTTAACTATGAAGCTTACTAACAAAATATGAATATTAGGCAGTAAAATCTACCTAAAACACCAAGAATTAAAAATGTAATCATTTTATAATTAAAAATGTTTAGTGCAGCATCTACTTAGGTCCACAGCCCAAATGTCTATTAGGGTGACAGAGGGAAAAATGTGCTGCAATTCTTGTGATTTCATCAGCAAGGAGATTAAAACATGCTTTAAGAAGTTTTGAAAAATATAAACTACTCTTCAATTTACACATTTCTTTTACTTAAAACATAAATCAGTAAACACACATATCCTTTACGTTAATTACCTAGTTGATCTCAATCAACTTCTCCTCACTGTGAAGATTTTGGCATGTAAGAAAAATGTGTGAATGGCTCAAAGGTAGGCATAACCACTGGTCTCTCTCCTCACATTCTGGTTCTCCAGGGTCTGGTTACTATGAATATATGGATGCTGCCAGCCAGGCACTCAAAGAGTTGTCATGTTATTCCTAAATCAGAAATTGGTAGATCTCTGTATAGTTCATTATCCTTAATGTATGCAATCAGGATGGAATTCAATTACTATAGGCCTATTAGTAACACCAGCTGACCAAACTGAACCCCTTCCACATTTTTGCCTAGTATGGTGTCTTGTGCTGGACTTCAGTTCACAGAAGTGACTTTCTCACTCATTTTGTTCAGATTCCAATTAGAATCATTGTTCCAGGCACACTTAAAAAAATCTTGATCCTGACATATATGACAGACATTGAGTACCCCAGATTATTTCACCCCGAGACACACATGATTAAATACTAATATTTAAATAGTATTATTTAAATACTATTAAATAACATAGTATTTAATCATGGAGACCAGTCATCACAGTTAATGATCTGGCTTCATGGCTGACAAGCACAGGCAGAGTCATAACGTAATAGGAGTGCTACAGTGTATTGAGAGAAGTGTCAATATCTTCAGGACAAAATGCTTACTGGTGGTAGAATTCCTACTGGTTCTTGAGGATGAGATGGTAGAATTATTCCCAATACTTTGTTCCTTGTCACATCTCAAGAGGAAGGAGATACTTTTTATTCATATGAAACCAAGGTTTTGGTTCACATTAACCTGTGGAAATAGAGTAAAAATATGGAAATATTAGAAGTATACATGTCCATTTGTCAACCGTGGAAAAGATTGGATGGTTCATCATGTACCTGCATGTAAAATATACTAATTGATTACTCTACTAGGATTTTTCTGATATTATTAGAAATTAGACAGAAGCCTCAGATGACTCAGCAAGTTATTAAACCTCACATTTGTTGGATTCATAGAGTTTTTGCAAAACCAATTACATTATTGATTAGTTAAAAAGTGTTTTTAAAGGAATGCACTTGCTGCAATGAGCACGGGGTGTTGTGTAGAAGTGTTGAATCACTATATTGTACACCTGAAACTAATATTACACCATATGTTATCTAACCTAGATTTAAATCAAAAGTTAAAAATAAAAATGATTCATGAAAAATAAATTTATTAAAAATTGCAATGTTAACCCTGGAAATCAGTGTTCTGAACATTTCCAGAAGAGGAAATTTGTACAAGTAACAACATCAGCAATTCAAATGGTGTGGCAGGAACAATTTCAAGCAATTCCAATGTAATTTCCAACCTATTATGCTTGGAGTAAATTATGGAAGTTGAAAATAAAAACTTCCTAATTGAAAGTTTACTATTAACAGGTTACAAGGAATTAACCATAGATATGCACGTGACAACCTACATTACAAGAAAATTATAGTCACTCCTGAAGCAGAAGTCATCTTTTATTTAGAAGATACTGAGGTCAATGTTTCGCCAATTATTCCCCTTAGGATCATTCATTATAACTATAATCCATCTTTATTTTTTAAATTTAAATTCAGGTTAGTTAACATATAATGTAGTATTGGTTTCAGTAGAATTCAGTGATTCATCACTTGCATATAACACCCAGTGCTTATCCCAAGTGCCTTTCTTAATGCTCATCATCCATTTAGCCCATTCCACCACCCAACCCCCTCCAGCAACTCTACGTTTGTTCTCTGTATTCAAGGGTTTCTTATGGTTTGTCTCCCTCTCTGTTTTTATCTTATTTTTTCTTCTTTTCCCCATGTTCATCTGTTGTGTTTCTTAATTTCCACATATGAGTGAAATCATATATTTACCTCTGACTTATTTCACTTAGCATAATACACTCTAGTTCCATCCATGATGTTTCATTTGGCAAGATTTCATTCTTTTTGATCACTGAGCAATATTCCATTACACACACACACACACACACACACACACACACACACACCTTTATATGTTCATAAGTCTATGGATATTTGAGCTCTTTCCATAATTCGGCTATTGTGGACAGAGTAGCTATAAACATTGGGGTGTATAGGCCCCTTCAAATCAGCATTTTTGTATCCTTGGCATAAATATGTGGTAGTGCAATTGCTAGTTTGTAGGGTAGTTCTATTTTTTGAATGTTTTAAAATTTATTTTGAGAGGGGGGAGAAGCAGAGCGAGAGGGAAAGAGAGAATTCCAAGCAGGCTCCATGTTGTCTGTATAGATCCTGATACAGGGCTTGATATTATGAACTGTGGGATGATGACCTGAGCCGAAACCAAGACTCCTGAGCCACCCAGGTGCTCTGGGGTAGTTCTATTTTTAATTTTTAAAAGAACCTCCATACTATTTTCCAGAGTGGCTGCGCCAGTTTGCATTCTCACCAACAGTGCAAAAGTTTTCCCTTTTCTCTGACTCCTCACTATCATCTGCTATTTCCTAAGTTTGTTTTAGCCATTCTGACAGGTGTGAGGTGCTATCTCATTTTGGTTTTGATTTGTATTTCCTTGATGATGAGTGATGTTGAGCACCTTTCCACGTGTCTGTTAGCTATCTGGATGTCTTCTTTGGAAAAGTGTCTATTCATGTCTTCTGCCCATTTCTTCACTGGATTATTTGGGGGTTTGGAGGCTGATGAGTGTGATAAGCTCTTTACAGATTTTGGATACTAACCATTTATCTGATAGGTCATTTGTAAATATCTTCTCCCATTCCATCACTTGGCTTTTAGTTTTGTTGACTGCTTTGTAGTGCAGAAGCTTTTATCTTTATGAGGTCCCATTGTTGATGTTTGGTTTTGTTTTCCTTGCCTCTGAAGATATGGCTAGTAAGATGTTGCTGTGGCTGAGGTCAAAGAGGTTTCTGCCAGTTTTCTCCTCTAGGATTTTGATGGTTTCCTATCTTACATTTAGGTCTTTCATCCATTTTGAGCTTATTTTTGTGTATGTGTAAGAAAGTGGTCCAGTTTCTTCTGCATGTATCTGCCCAGTTTTCCCAGCACCATTCATTGAAGAGACTTTTTTCCACTGGATATTCTTTCCTGCTTTGTTGAAGTTGGTCATACATTTGTGAGTCCATTTGTAGGTTCTCTATTCTGTTCCTTTGATCTATGTCTGTTTTCGTTCCAGTACCATGCTGTCCTGATGATTACAGCTTATGGTTTGCCTCCATATTGTGCCTCCATATTGCCTCCAGCTTTGGTTTTCTTTTTCAACATTACTTTGGCTCTTGGGGTCCTTTCTGGTTCCATACAAATTTTAGAATTGTTTGTTCCAGCTGTGAAGAATGCTGATGTTATTTTAACAGGGATTGCATTAAATGTGTAGATTGCTTTGGGTAGTATAGATATTTTAACAATATTTGTTCTTCCCATTCCTGAGCAAAGAATGTGTTTCCATTTATTTGTGTCTTCTTCAATCCTTTCATAAGCTTTCTATAGTTTTCAGCATATATATCCTTTACCTCTTTGTTTGGTTTATTCCTAGATATTTGATGGCTTTTGGTGCAATTGTAAATGGGATCAATTCCTTGATTACTTGTTATGTGGCTTCATTATTGGTGTGTAGAAATGCAATGGATTTCTGTATATGGATTTATATCCTGTGACTTCATTGAATTCGTGTATCAGTTCTAGCAGTTTTTTGGAGTCTTTTGGGTCTTCCACATAGAATGTCATGTCAACTATGAAGAGTGAAAGTTTGACTTCTTCTTTGCCAGTTTGGAAGCCTTTTATTTCTTTTTGTTGTCTGATTGATGAGACTAGGGCTTCCAGTACTATCTTGAACCACAGTGGTGAGAGTGGACATCCCTATTGTGTTCTTGACCTTAGGGGAAAAGCTCTCAGTTCTTTCTCTTTGAGGATGATATTAGCTGTGGATCTATAATCCACATTTAAATACATATAAAATTGGCTGGGGAAATATTAGCAAATGAAATCTACCTTGAATACCAAGAACTGGAAATTAATTATTTCATGATTTTAAAATGTTTTATGTAGCATCTACCTGAATGCTTTACTCTAATGTCTAGAAAATTGCCTCCTGGCTGATAGCAAAAAACAACTATTCCACTTCCTGTGACTGCAACATCAATCAAATTAAAACACTCTAAAACATTCACAGGAATAAAACCAACTTTAAAATTACCAATTGTTTATTTTATTTAATAGATAAATGCCAAATAAGAGTCATAAGTTCTTCAAATAAGCTATCTAATTGACATCAATAGACTGATTCTTATTAAGCATATTGTAGCATCTAAGTAAATAGCATGAATGTCCTACATACACACAACCATTTTCCACTGAGATAATTACTCATGTGCTTGTTTTACATGGTCTGTTTAGTACGAGTATATGGATGCTACCTGTGAAACAAAGATAATTTTATCATTTTACCCAACAATTAGATATTTATAGACAACTATAATTAACTGCAATTAACTTTGCTTAATATGTAGTCAGGTTAGCTTTCAAGTACCCTGTTGGTACTACTACCTGACCAACTGAATTCTTTACACAGTTTTAGCCTTGCATGGTCCCTATTCTGGAGCTCAGCTCATAGAAGTGACTTGTTATTCATTTTCTTCAGATTTATATAAGATCCACTTTTTTTTGAAGTCTTTATTGATATGGGCATATTTATAAAATAGATCTTTAGAATGGATATGTGACAGACACTCAAGAACTCAGGATTCTATCACCCTGAGAAATGCTTACCCAGCCCCATGGCTGACCAGAGTAGCCAGTATTATTGGAGTGTTACTGAAGTATTATGATTCCCTAAGAGAAATGTCAGCACTTTCAGGACAAAATGATTACTGATGTTAGAATCCCACTGGCCCTTGAGGATGGGAGGCAGAATTATTCCCAACAGTTTCTCTCATGTCATACATCAAGGAGAAGGATTAAACTCATATATATGAAACCTAGTTTTTGGCCCACACCTACCTTTGGTTAAAAAGTATAAATGTGGAAAGATGAATGGCATATATGACCATTTGTCAAAGTTGCATTAGGCAGGAGTACTCACTATGTACCTTTCTGTAAAAATACACTAATTTATTATTACTATAGGATATTTCCGGTTATTCAAAGTAGAAGAAAGAGTAAAATCTGAAAAATAAAGGAGACTGAAACTTCACATATTCCCACAATTATTAATGCTAATAATAGTTTGTATTAACCAACTATACACTAATTGAATTAAATTTGGATTACTTAAAAAATAATAAGACAACAGAGATACATAAATTTGCTACAAGTTTGGTGTTAAAATTAGGAGTATATTGTTTTTTCCCTTCCCAGATAAGGAATCACTTCAAAATCAACACTTCATTGGTGCAATGATGAGATTCCATGGAATTCTGATACTACACTCTATCTACAAAGTATATAGGAAGTTAGAGAAGTTGCAAAACAAAATTTTCCTAATGGAATATTTAGTTATAAAAAATTATAAGAATTCTTCATGGATATTCATTGGGCCATCTGATGACAATTGTTATGCTCACAATTTTGATCTCAACAGTACAGAAATAATTTTTTCTAAGATATTTGCCTAAAAATTTCCCCAGTAAATTCACTGAGAAATGATTTATTATAACTATGGTGTTTGTCTACACACATTAGAAACCCATTTATGATAAATGAAAGAGGCTAATGTAATTCATGTAAGAATACAAGACTTTAAAATATAACTGTCTCACATATAAAAATGTTTAATACACCATGTAGTTGAAGCCA